CCTTCCGCCGGCCACTCTCCAGCCCTGGGGTGGGCCGCTGTTGGCCCTGCCAGCGGAGCACAGCTTTCTTCCAACGCTGTGTGGCAGCCCCACGGACCAGCAGCACGTCGCTGAGCTTTGCTCATGGCTCTTTTCCTCTCCACAGGTGGCAGAAAAGAGCCGGACTTCTCCTCCTGTGGCCAGCAGGAGGAAGCCATCACCTGCTACTCGAAAGCCATCAACCTGGATCTGCAGAGGGTAAAGGGGCATGGCTGGGAATGGCTGCTCTCTTCCAGACCAGGCTACATCTCCTGCCTGGCGGAGCTCAGAGCTTTTGGCTAATGATGCTGAAATCTTTGTGGCTGGGGGGGGGCCGGCACACGCGCGCCGTGCGTGTTTCCCACTGGCACAGAGAGCTCCTGACAAAGATTGGGGGTGGCAGCCAGCCCCCAGCTGCTCTCATTTAACTGAGACACTGATGCTGCCTCACTGCAGACTGCTTCCTTCGCCTGGGAGAGCTGGCCTACACACTAGAGGATTACCAGCAGGCACTGGAGCTGAGCCCGCGTTACATGGAGACGGGTTACAGCGGCACTGCGTAAGCAGGGATGGCAGGACTTGGTGGTGAGGTGAGTGGGTGGGCTGGTGCGGTCTGCTGCGTGGCTGGTAGTGAGCCAGGCTGCCGAGCGTGCTCGCTCCCATCCCCTCGCAGGCAGCAGTGGCAGGTGGAATCTTGCTTCTCTGCGGCCATTGAGCACAACCCCCAGAAAGCACTGTACTACCTGTGCCAGGCCAGGGCCTGCCTGTGCCTGAGGAGGGTGGAAAGTGTGAGGGAGGATGCTGCCCTAAGTCTGTGGCTCAACCCCATGGACAGCCTGTGCTGCTCCCCAATGCCCTTCTTGGGCTGTGGGTGATGTTCTTGGCCTGTTGCCTTGACTGCAGTCTCTATGCCTGCCCCTCACGCAGTTTGGGGGAAGCCTGGTGTTTCCATTCTGCATCGGGGGCCAGCAGCTGATCAAAGATCAGGGACTGGGGTAAAGGTCCTGCCAGGGTACGGCCCAAGCCAAGCAGGGAGGGTTATAGCCTGGCTCTTACAACAGCTTTGCACCAGAGCCATTGGGCAGGTCTCCTTATTTTCATTTTCCTGTTTCTTTGACCCTAATTCAGGGCAAAAGTCCTCCTGTGTCTGGCTGCGATAAGGAGAGCATGCCCCCCCCATGGTCATGCACTGCTTGGGGCAGTGGCATGGCTTGATCGATCTGGAGTTTGTTTGCGATGAACCCCAAGCTCTCCGGTGGGGCAGGTACCGGTGGGGCTGGCGTGGCCTTTGCTGGTGGCATGAGGCAGGTGTTTGGCTGCAGCGGTGGAAACCCC